TGAGTGTTTGTGGTCTCAGGGATGAGGGGCATATATGGGGGGGGGGAGCAGGATATATCCCCCTGCTAAATATGTCCCCCTACAGTTTCAAACCTTGATTTGAGCATATCCTAGCCAGTAACGAACTCCAAAACCTATCTCCAGAAGCTACAGTTCTCCTCTGCCCTTGAGTTCTTCAGCCCCGCTCTGCTAAGTTCTAACAGAGATCATTAACTGTTAGTTCTCTCTGTTTTAAAAAAAATATAAACAGGGCCCAACTCTTTCTTCAGGCCTGCAGAGTCCTCCTCCCTCCTCTCAATTTACAGCAGCTGCAGCACCAGCTCAGAGAAACCCCCGTACTGACAGCTACTAGGCACACAGGCTGAACTAGGTAGGCCGAGGCACACAGAGCCTCCAAAACGAAGGAAATAACTTTATGTCCTCAAGCTACTCCAATATTACCACATCTGCTAAAACCTCAACAGATCTACTGAAACATAGGCCAACCTGCTGCTTGAAAAACACCTTCAAATGAGGCAAATCTACTGATAGCTGAGCTTACATGAGTCTTTAAAAGTTGTATAATCCCCAACAATGTAGCAAAACTCTTAGAAGACTGAAGTGTGTGGTCAAAAAATAAAGCAACCCCTTTTTGTTCCATTCGATCCCAGCGACAAAGGAAACCTAAGCATGTTCCTTGCATAGCGACGTAGAATAGGATGCACGCTGCCGAAGCCCTCAGGAATCCCATGTGCCATCAGACCACCTCGCGTGCTGCACACCACCGACCTCCTTCCCCCCTCCAAATATCCCTCAGCCGCAGTTTCCGCTCAAACCCCATCTGCCTCCATCCGCGGTGCAACCCTTGCAAGCAACAGGAGGCTCGAGCCGGAAAGAATCACGCGCCCCCTAGCGAGAGCGCCGACTGCTTCTGCTTGCTCAGCTCACCCCTTGCTCCTCCATTCTCATCGCCTTGGAAACGTCGTCGGGGAGAAACAGCAGCACGGAGATCGTGTCTCGCTCCTTCTTGGCAGGGTGAAAGAACAGGGAAGAGCTATCTCTCCCCCCGCCTCTTACAGTGAGGATTCTTGATAACAGCTACGTATTTAACCAAAGCCTTGGGCTGAGAAAGGCCATCCTTGGCCTCTTCTGGGAAGAGCTCCCACCTTCAAGAATTGCCAAGACCAGAGCCCTCAACTAATAGTTGACTGACATACATGCCCTGGAAATACTTTTTTTGGGGTGGTGGGGTTCATAATTAGGCAGCTGCATAAACCTCCTCCTCCTATCTCATTATCTGTGCTCCATTGCCCACCCCATCCCTGCCAATCCCACTTTTGCCAAATTAATCTGAACCTTGCATATACCAAAAATAGTCCAATACTGACATTATGCAAATTAATTAGTTTCAGGATTGACGTAATTTGTTTTAAGCACAAAATGCAAGTTTCCCTGGCACAGAACGTTGATTTTTCTCTTCTTATTTTTAGCTACAGTCAGCCCAACAGAGAGCACTATTACACACCCTCACAATGACTTGTTTTAACATAAACTAAATGTTACCCTGTTAAGCGATTATGTTATATATGGCAGCAGGCTTACACGCCCATCAACCTCTCTTCTGAAGCTGAAATGTCAAAAGCTAGGCCTGTCGGGGAAATACAGTGTAAGATGTTTTACCTGCTAATCCAGGTATGAGGTTATGAGGTATGAGAACAAGCATCTGTTGCAGCATAGCTGTACAGACACCCAATGGCATTAGATGCTAAACTCTGCAAAGGATTAGAAAATGTAAAGTGAACCCAGACTTTAAACACAACAAATGTAGACAAATTATGCAGTGATTGCAAAAGGGTGCAGGTTATGTTCATCAAGAGCACAGGCTATCCAGGCTGAATTCGCGAACATTCAAACTTGGGGTACTATCGATTAAAGGAACCGCAGACTCAGTCATACAAATCACAATTTTAGCAGTTAAGTCTGCAAAAGATTGGTTCTGAGAAAAAATAGTTCTGCAGAAAATATTAGCTTGTTTTTAGATGTGTCGCAGGAGGCATCTTAAAAGAGGCAGTTCATTTTCTCTCACCTACGAGGCAATACCTCTTCTAAAGTGTTGCTTGCCATATGCAGTTTCAATTAACACTGTTAGACACATCTTTTTTAAAAAAGAAGAGAGATAACATCTGCCAACTGATTAAATAGGGATCTCATTTTAAGCCATCAAAATGGTTTCCTTCTGATCAATTGGCCACACATTGCAGCCCTAATTAGCAGTTATGCTCCTGCAGCTGTAGTGAGTGAATAAACTATCTTGGGCAGAAAGGGCCTGCGTATTAAAAACCTGTCTATTGTGGGTGTCTTTCAGCTCCAAAGCTGCTGCTTTCTCAACAGCTTGCTACTCCTTCAGTTGCAGCCTGGAGGTATTTCCAATGGATTCTTTTTGCTAGCTAAACAAAGGAAGCTGAATCAACATGTATGATTTATCCAATTTTAATTTCAGAGAACCTTATAAGTTCAGTGGCTCACTCTTACCAAGAAGAGTGACAACACACCATAAATCGCATGGGCCCCGATTCAGTTAACCCAGTGTCTGTGCAAGGAATTCTGCTAGTGAAGAGTGCAATGCTGAATTCCCACCCTGGATTAGTGCTGTTAAGCGCAAAACACCAGTTCTCCCGCTAGGCAAGAACTGGTTTTGAGCAGCTTTGGCTCCTTTAAGAGTTATTTCACACCTTCTATGCTGACCCAAGTAAGATGCTTAAATAGGTGCCTCCAAGGCAGGGGTCAGCAACCTTTTTCAGCCGTGGGCCAGTCCACCATCCCTGAAACCATGTGGTGGGCCAGACTATTTTTTTTGGGGGGGGGAATGAACAAATCCCTATGCCCCTCAAATAACACAGAACTGCATTTTAAATAAAAGGACACATTCTACTCATGTAAAAACACGCTGATTCCCGGACTGTCCGCGGGCCGGCTTGAGAAGGCAAATGGGCTGCATCCGGCCCCTGGGCCTTAGGTTGCCTACCCCTGCTCCAAGTAGTGAAGGCTGGATGAGGGCCACAAAGCATATGCAAGTCCTTGGCTGCAGCAAGTGGGCCTGCATGCATTGCATTACAAAGGATTCAGGGGCTGCTCAGGGCCAGCCCACCAGAGGCTCAAAGAAGTGACCACAAGGGCAGCGAATCCCAACCTTGTTCTTTATTCCCTCCTCCCCTTGTTCCTGATGCCATGCTTCTTGCCTGGTGAGGAGGGGCACCACTTTGTGGTTCGCCTCAGGTGCTAAATTATATTGGGTCAGCTACGGGGATTCCCCTTGTGGTTGAGCAACAGATTCCCACACATCCCTGATGGCAGGGCTAAGAAATAAAAGCTCAGCTCAAAGAAAGACTGGCTGTGAGTAATTGATCTGACATTGATTAGATGCTTACCCTATTCAAGGTCAGCTCAGGCTTCCAAGAGTAAGCTTGCTGCCTGCTGTACTGGCACAAACAGGGCAGTTACAATTTCGCCACCGTGATACATGCCATAATAATCTCTGGATTAGGTTACTGAAATGTGTTCTACATAGGGCTGCCTCTGAAAAGTTTTCACTAGTGCAAACTGTGACTGTTCCCAATAGCTGTCGTCAGCAGAGAGAAGGCTGAATATATTTTGTAATATTTGCCCTGGGTGTCTGTGTCTTCTGGTTCAAGTCCCAAATCAAAGGGTCTGGGTCCCATAGTAGTTGAAGGAATCCCTGATCTTAAATATGCATCCCTCTTGTCTCTTTAACTATTCAAATCTCCAGAGATACCGTCTTTCTTAGGAAGGCCTTTGAGCCGTAGAAACAAATGGCACACTTTTTAAACCAGCTTGATTTGGGTTTTCTAATTTGCATATTCCAGAGTATATCCTTTTATATTTTTACTATTTAAGTATTTTATGTGAATCTGAGATGTTCAGAAACCTCCGGGTTAAGTGCTTCCATACTATTTATTGAATTTTAAGGCATTAGGGTTTTAAGGAAAGTTAAGCCAGCCCTAATTTTAATACAGTGGTACCTCAGGTTACATACGTTTCAGGTTACATACACTTCAGGTTACAGACTCCGCTAACCCAGAAATAGTACCTCGGGTTAAGAACTTTGCTTCAGGATGAGAATAGAAATTGTGCTCTGGGGGCAGCAGGAGGCCCCCATTAGCTAAAGTGGTGCTTCAGGTTAAGAACAGTTTCAGGTTAAGAACGGACCTCCAGAACGAATTAAGTACTTAACCCGAGGTACTACTGTACACAACAATAAATTGATACTCTATCAAACTTACTCCATTCAGTGCCTTAAAAAGAGGGGAAGGTAAAAAAAAAATTACTAGGCTATCCCCTCAATAATAGCCTGTCATTTCCCCCCTCCCCGCCACAATTTTCTGAAGAGTGTACACTGCTCTTCTCCAGCACATCTGTTGTTTAAAAGATGAGGGAAGGCCAGCAACAAGTTATTCCTCCACATGCACTATGACTTCCCTTCCTGGCCCACTGCCAATAGCAAAACTACTTCCACCCAGCCATTTTTCATAGGAAATGCAATAGTGTGCTTACTGAAGGGGGCCAGGGCTCATGAAGTCATACAAGGCTAAATATGGGGGGGGGCAGGGGGTAGTGCAGATGCCAACTTGCACTGGAATCGCAACACAGTGTAAAACTGCCCTAATGTGTTCTACAGGCTTCAGCAATGCCAAGCATATTCAGTGCTCTCTTTAATCTACAGCTTCTAAAATATGTGTGGTCGCATAAAATGTGGCAGTTGAACTCTTGTGCATTTCACACATACACATCTGTGAAGTTATATCTTACAGATGAAGGAAAGATATCAGACCCCCTGATACAGCTACATCTCAGTTAAGCTGGCATATACACTAGAAAACCCTGGAGGTGATGCATTTCTACAACAAATACTGTGGGATGAAAGTCGAAATAGTACATTTTGAGCCATATTCACAAATCATGTTTCTGAGTGCTATTGCAGTTATAAATGGGGCACACAACAGTAATTTTGAAGGAGGTCCTTTTATTCCTGGATTTCCATTGGGTGAGGGAGACAGAGACACCCCCCTAAAAAAAACAATCAATTCCAGAAACACTCTTGCCTAGGCAACGGCAGTAGATAGTAGCATGTCCAATTTCCAACTCTTTTAGTGGGCGTATCTCCAGCATATACATTTTATAATATCACAATTTTATATCTTTCATACATAAGTTTACTGCCGCTATGGAAAGACAAATCAGACAGGAGTTAGGCTAGAGAAGAATTGCTAACAGACTGCAGCACAGACCTGTTAAGACAGAAGAGAAACAAGCAAAGGTACAAACTTAAAATTTAACAGGGATGGGGTGGAAGAAAGAATCAAGGCAGAAGCCTATCCTTAAGAGGCAGGGAGAATGGAGAACAGACCCAGGCCAACAGGTCAGACCAGGGTTTTGGCAGACACAAAGGACAATTCTGAAGTGCTCATAGAACTGAGCTCAGATGCTGCTGACCTTAGAAGGATATTGCTACAGCCATAGTTTTGAATTTGAAGCCAGAATAAAAGGAGGAACACGGGGTTCTTACACATAAAACTAGGGGTGAGAGTCACCTAATGAGTCCCATAAGCACAAGTTGCATGAGGGTTCTGGTTTGCATAACAGGGCTTTCCCCTCAGCCCTCCTCCCATGCTCCTCAAAATTGGCTTGGGAGTTGGGAGAAGCCCCAAAGCAGCATTGGTGTGCGGGACAAGAGGTGGAATTGTTCTGTCTCACAAGCTACAATACTTGCACTGATGAGACATTCACCATAGTGCAACCCTGAATTCTACCCTAGGCCTTGATTTAGGCTGCAATCTTCACCCTACTTACCTGGGAATAAGCTCCATTAAATAGGACTTACTTCTGAGTAGACATGATTAGAATTGCACTGCTAATCAAGCAAGCTTTTAAAATATGGGGGGGGGGAGGGAGATTCCTATTACCGTAGTTAGAGGGGCTGCCAACAAGGGAAGATCTGTTTCTAATTGGTATGCTGGAAGTCCCAGGCCCATTATCTAGCAGGTCTCATGAAAAACAACTGAGTAGCAGGTGCTACTAACCTTTCTCTGCCTGAGAACCTAAGAAAGTCACTAGCCAATCAGAGTAGACAATACTGGTCTAGATGGACCATAATCTGACCTGATGCAAGGCAACTTCCTAACAGGCACCTACCACCTTACAGATAATTGGAGACAATTAACTCCTTCTTCCAGATTTGATGAAGAAAAGATACTTGAAACTTACATTTCTTTCTCTCCACTACTTCAATTCAAAAACCAGAACACAAAATTTGCCACTGTGTTTTAACACCAATAACTACACTTAAATATATATTTATAATACTGATGGAACATGAAGTTTTATTTCTTTTTTAAAACAGGGGTGTGTTTTTTTGTTAAGGAGAGAATATTCTATATTCCCAAATTTGATTAAATGTAAAATATTAAGATGACATTTTCTGCTGGAAATAAGTAGTAGATTTTATTAAATCATATAATCTTACACCTAAGGGAAACTGTCCTTTTTATTAGTCTTTTGCATTATGTACCTATAACAAGTCTTAGGGATGTCATGCTTAAACATTACTAAAAGGACTCAAGTTTAAATGACAGAACTACAGGTTTCCCTGTCAATTGTGAACAACACACAGGAGTTTAAAAAACATGGATTCCCTGCAGTAACATCTGGAACTGGGACTGACATCCATATTTATTGCACTGAAACCTGCCCATGTTCTATTTACAGTTGCAGTCCACTTTCCATTTTTAAACTCTGCCTTTCAGGTTGTGTCTACAAATGTACATCAGCTCTAAGATATTATGTGGGATGAAGTGACTAATGATATTCTCAGACAAATTTTCAGATGATCAGAAATATTTTTCAAAAGTATTTGAAAGAGGCAGAATAAAATCAAAAGATGGGGAAGACAGGGAAAAGACACCATGAAGAAGTCTGTAAATAAAATATCACGTTCAACTGGAGTTTCTAAGGAAAGGAATGAATTGCTCACTGAATTGCTAGCTGGATGTTAACTGACAGGCTGCAAGAGGCACGTGAGAGTGTGTAGAGCAGACAAGGATGGAAGGCAGTAACAAAAGATCTATTTGCCACACAGAAAACAATGAAGAGAAGCTGCTCTTTTCTAATTCAGGGACATGCTGACTGATGCTCCACATTCAGGAGCATCAGAATGAAACTGCCCAGCACCTGGCAATGTGTTCACTGCATCCACTTCTGTACCACAGCAATGAATCATCAGGACATACAGTTAGCAAACAAGTTCAAAATAGTTCCAATATTATCAAGAACAGTGCAACACTAGCATGAGATACCATAGGTGAACTGGCAGATGAGGTTAACTGCCCAGGAGCAAGGCAGATCACACACACACACACACACACACACACACACACACACCACTCACCCACAATCTCCAGGTTAAAAATAACTGCTGGGAGACTGAAGAAGTGCACACTAGATACAGAATAAGGGGAATTATTTATGATTGGAAATCTTTAGTCCAGGCAATAAATAGGTCTACTTATCAGAGCTTCATGAAGGCACAAATGCAGCTCTGTGGGTGCCTTGGGCTCCCAGCCATGGAAGACTGTAGAAGAGATTCCTAAGGAGAAAGATGACTAGGACTTTCAGCCTAGCTACACCAGACAGAAAACATCTACACTTGAATCTAATGTTTTCTGAGCTCTTCACCAAAAGAGCCAAGCTTTACCTGGACAAAGCTGCTATTTTTCTACTCTAAGGCTAACAAGCAGCTTTGAGGTGTGATGTGATTAGGAAAATTGTGCAAGGGAAAAGGGTAAACCCTACACTTTCAATGCTGCTGTTCCAAATTCAGAGAACTAGCACCTGCTTTACATTAAAAATGAAGACACCGCGAGGTTTTATTAGAGACCTCTCACTTTTCATGAAGTTTAACCCTTTCAAAAAAGTGCAGAGGGCTCAAGATTCTAGGCTCGAATCCATGCATGCTCCCACATTGGCACAGTTGGCAGGTGAACTCTTTAGAAAACATTACTAGGACAAACAACAGAATCACATCATTTCTTGGGGGAGAAAAATAGGGCACAGTGGTCCAGAAAATAAAATAAATAAAAATACAGACTCAACTTTTATAGGTTCCCAAGGTAAATGACAAACCCTCCCCAGCTTTCCTTGTCAACTCATACTGGCCTTATTGGAGTTTCAAGAAAGAAATTAAAGCTAGAAACCAGTATGCTGCCAACAGCTTCCATTTAACTTGTGTGATCACAGCTTTATGTGCTTGGCCAAAGAAAAGGGGGCAGCAGAGATAAATGTCAGAAGGTGGTGGAGAGGAAACATTGGCAATCCCACCAACCATTGCACTCACCCTGGGAGATTGTTTGGAGGTGCGGGGAGAGTCTGTAGCAACCTTGGGAGAGAGTGTGCAGCCTTCAGATAGAATGTAGAGGTGGCTGGAGAGTGCTGGGACATGCCTTTTAATGTTTTTAAAGGGTTGTTTTGATTATACATTATTTTGGCTTTATGCGCTATCCCCGGAATGAAACCCCTGTGTAAGCTGAGAGTCAACTGTAATGCTACTCTAGTGTTTGAAAACTTCCTTACTTCAATTAAGCCATGTTAAAAACAAACCAACCAAAAACCCACAGCCTGTCATCTCAGAAAAACCTGCAGGTATTATCTTGACATGCCTACAAGCCTTAGCATCTCTCCATCCCTCTCATTGTGCATTATGGGAACAAAGCAAGTCATCTGGGGGAAGTCCTGGACACACACAGGTTATCCCAATTGTGTCCCTGCAGACTAGATATGCCAGTGGAGGCTGCTCTTGCATTGCAGCTGCCATTCCTGAGCTTCTCCTTCTACCCATTTCCACCAGCAGAACAGATTGGTGGATATTCCACAGGGAACATTAAAAGGATCCATTGCTTGGGGAACAGAGCTGCTTACTTGTTTCTTAGAAGTTACTGGTGCACAGTGTTCACGAGGGTGAAGCAAGGGCGCTGGGGTAAGGAAGAGAGAGAGATACAGAAGGACCTCCATCCCCAACAATTAAAAATGTACATATGCTATATACATACATTCATAGATATATCAATATAAATATATAAAACAAACTCCAGCAGGTGAGCAGATGGGAGGCCAAAGGCCAGGATCAGGGCCAGCCCTGGAATGTTTCACTAGTTCCTGCCATCATCTCTCCGCTATGGAAAAGGTGTGGCAGGATGATCCCTCGGCAGTACACTGAAGACCTTTGCAGAGGTGTCTACTTTCCCCCGTCCTGGAGCATTTCCTCTGTAGGGTGGAGTCTGCTGCCACCCTGAAACGATGATCCCACACTCATACAGCTAGCATGTGCGCTGGGTTGTAAGCCAAGCCAGTGCTAGGCCAGTACCATCTCTTTTGTTGAGTCAGCTCGCTGCTTGGCCAGGCTCATAGAAAGAATAGGCTGGCGGGACCTATAGGCGAGTGGGTTCTTCTTCACTTTCACTGCAGTTCCCACAACAGTCCTGGAGAATGAAGGGAGGAGGAGGCGGCAGGAGGAGGAGGGAAGGGTGGGGGAAAGCAAGGGAAAAAGGGAGAGCACACAGCAAGCACAGAGTGAGTCCAGTTATTATTCAACACGCAGACATGCCACAGGATTCTATTCCCAGTCCCCACAGAAAAAGAAACCATTGCTTAGAAAATAACTTTGGGGCTCAGCACCAAAACCAAATCTGATGGTGGAGCTGCTTGCAGTCAGTGCTCTCTGGAAGCCAACCTGCAGGACTAGAGGGAGAGAGAGAATATCATGCTGGACCTCCTACCACACTCCCTTATTCACAACCAGACTGTGCCTTTTCCATACCCTTTCAATGCCTATTTATGGGCTGTGAGGAATCTTAATTGTACTTGGCCATGGCCAAGTACAGAAGTAGGAACGGAAATTATTCTATGTTAGTGAGCCCAGGACCATAGTGGGGTCTTATGTAGACCTAGTAAAAGCACAGCAGGAAACAGATAAACACAGAAAGATGAACCAATGGCCTAACTGTAGAAAGCAGGACATGTCTAGAACATCAGCAAGCTCTCAAAAAGTGTGCGGGGTTCTTGGGTACATGAGGGAGAGAGAGAAAACTTCCATTCTTAATAGCAAGGCCACATAAAGAAGGCATGGGAGCTGGAGAAAAGGGATGTTTAAATAATAATCCAGCTGCTTCCATGGCAAGGGAACAAGGCAAGACATTCATGGTGCTTTGCAGGAAGCAGGATTAGTGGCTTGAAGAACTATTAATGAACAAACAGCGTATTTTGGAGAGGGGGGAGAGGGGGAAGGAGAGGGAGGCACTGCAGAGGTAGAGTCCTCATCCCCTTGTCTTGTCATGTCCGCCAGGGGAGTTTGGGGCACCAGGTAGTCATTTTCCTGAGCAGAGCAGCAGAGAAGAGGTTGCTCACCTCTGGAAAGAGAAAACATGCTGTGAGAGCCCGGCCAGAAATAGCCATGCCCTCTCCTAAGGCCTCTCCTACAGGGATAACTACCACCAAACAGAGCAGCCAGAGCAAGACCCAGAGGAATTGCCAAGGTGAGGGATACTGGAAAATGATGAGCCCACAGAAAGGAGGGAAGATGCCAATTCAAATGGGCTCTCATTCACACACCACACCACAATAAGGTCAGGCTCCTAGCACTGGGAGTGAACACTTTTTTCTAAGCAAAAAGCACCGCAAACACATGTGCTGTGCAAGAAGCTGTATTTCTAAATCATGAAGACATAAGGGGGTTCAGGGACTAGTTTCTGAGAAGAACAAATGACACTTTATCAAGTGTTTCTCTCCCACAGCTGTCTTAGAAGTTAGTAAACTGAACTAGCTGAGCTCAAATGCCACTACAGCAGCTGGCCTGCTAATGGGTCTGAGGTGTATAGATACAGAAAGATCAGTGGTGCTAGGACTGACATACAACATGGTACCACTTGAGGAAAGCTGCTACCCTCTCCTCTCACACCTCCACCCCTCCTCCACCACCTCTTCTCCTCTCCTCTCTCTTTTAATGTTTTGCTGGTGCTAATGCAGCAGCAGCAGTAGCATGCCTCCACCTCCTCTCTGCCTCAGGAAAACAAGAGGGTCCCTCCTCAGAGCAAGGCATACTGAGAGAGGCGGCATAGGAAAGTGCCTATACCACTGCTGCGTTTAAACTTTTAAGTGATGTTAAAAGACCACCCCAGGAAAGTGGCAGTGGTACAGGCACTCTCCTGGGTTGCTCGGAGGAAGGACTCCCCTACCCTTCCTAAATGCAAGGCAGAGAGGAGGGAGATGCTGAGCATGCTGCCACCATGTAAGGAACAGCAAAACATGGAAAGCCTGGGAAGTGGGGGCAGAGAAAGAAGGGCAGATGAAGCAAGCAGGAGGCACTCATTTACTGCCCCATCATCAGACAATGCTTCCCGAGAAAATTCTTTCATTTTGCCCATGGATGGGCCAGCCCTGTGCAGTGCAAAGAGAGGGCAGAGAGCATCCCAGAACTGGTTTCTGATCCCCATGTCAAGACAAACCTGCTTCCCACATTTCAGGCAAGTTACCTGTCTGCTGAAGAGACGTTGGAGAAGACCCTTTTTGGGCTGGATGGGTTGCTGTCCCTTCCAGTCCAGATCAGGCGGTATGGCTCCATCTGAACCAAAAACATTCAGCTCTTTGAAACACTCTGTGTCTATCATCTAGGGGAGAATAAAAAGATGACGAGCTCACTATTGGTCTTCCCTGCTCAGGTCCTCATCGACAGGGTGTCTCCATGACACTTGTCCCAAATTAGCTACTTATACAATACCTCAGCCAGTCAGTTATGGAACAGCTTTGCACCCCACCCCCAGCAAGTGCAGATGACTCAGCGTGTCTTCCCATCAGAAGCAGAAATTCTCCTGAAGAGTGGAAGAGCACCTACCTCATTCTGCCAGGGAATAGGGACGCTTCCTGTTGCAAACTTGTGGTAGAAGTCATGGTCGGTGGGCTCCAGCTCTACCCCCTTGACTGTAGAGAATTGCTCAATGTCCAATACATCCTTGCAATAAATAGCCTGGGGCTAAGAAGAATGCAGAAAAGGGAGAGCAATGAAAGGGCTATTTTCCTACACCTGAACACAACCAACAGATGGTACGAGGAAGACACTGCTACACACATGCATTCTGAACTCACATCGGGTTTGAATGGTGGGTCGAGCATCCCTGCTTCCAACCGCTTGAAATTCAAGTGTTTAAAGAGATGGTGCTCTTTCACTTCCTGAGCACCAGCACCTCGACATCCCAGCCGTTCCAGTGGGTCTTTACACAGGAGCTGTAACATAGCACAGGGTGTCACACCAAAGCCTCTGTACTGCCAGAAGGCTTTAGCTACAAAGGGCAACAGACCCAGCCTCCAGGAAAATGAAACAAAACCTAAGCTGAAAATTGCTTAAAATGTTATTTTTGAACAATATTCTGGAACAGAACTTGAACCATTATTGGTAGAATGAGGTTCTTTTCAACTGAACCCGAAACACAGCTTAAGTTACTGGTTATGAATAACTTAATAAAAGCTGATAGGATATCAGCTCTTGACTGCACTATGGCCTTCTAAATCCCCACATATGACAACTCTAAAGTAAAAAGACATCCAAATAATCTGTGAGGATTTGTTTTAATATTATGCTCTTATTTGCTCAGGTTTCTCAGCCCTTTCAAAGGCAGTAAACAGCAAGAAGGATCCCTGTTGCTTTATTTCTGAGACTTATACCTCGCTTTCCACTAGCCTGTCAGAAATCCCATGGCTTTAAGACAACAATCCACAGAAATTACAATACAGAATGAATGTATCTTGTACACTGATAGACAAAAGAAGGCCGCTGGAGGGGAAGGGTCTAGTCCAATAGCTGCATTCTAGGGTATCCTGGATAATCACAGGAAGCATGGATTATTTTAAACATCAACCTGCATATTGAAGGACATAAGAGTTTCTTACAGGAGCAAGCAACCTCCCTCCCAACCATTGCTTATTCAAGCCTCTTGCAAGATGCAAAAACTCTTAGCTATGTAAAGTGAGTTATAGTGTGGAGGAAAGAAGTAAATAAGGCTTGCTAATTCTTCCAAACATCTGAGACTGTTATGCATGCAACAAGATTGATGACTGGGACATAGCACTCACATGATTTCATACCCAACCCTTAGTTCTTCTACCAATCTTTTTACATTTACTCAAAAACGAGAAGGGATTTTTGAAACTATTGATGTGTATTTAATGGGTAACTGACACTTCAGAGACCTCCTGCTTGAATGAAACCCTCTGCACTGGTTATGATTGAGCTTTCCTTCAATTGCTTAAGCTCCAATAAGCTAACTGAGAGAATAAATTAACAGGATGGGACAAGGAAAAGCTTAAAATATTAAACTGCTTGATGCCAGGTAGGTAGGTAGGTAGGTAATCTAGGAAGGGATCTAGGATCATGTCACAGTTGCAGCTAGGCCATACTGCACCATACCCTACTCTTATTGCAAATACAAATGTTCCAGGAGCCAGGTTGAAGAGGAATGAAGAACTAGTGAGTACAGATGAGATGATGTTTTCTGAGTCTGACACTAAACTGCTACCAAGCTACAACTGCCCTGAAGAGAAGTATTTTTACAATTTTCGTTCATTTCACAAAGGTACACTGCCTTGATTTCCTGGCTGCACCTGGCTCTGGAGAAGTCATACACACAAAATGAGATCTAGTAGCAAAACAAAAGTTATGGTGTACTGCACTACTCTGAAGTTAGTTTCCAGTGAGCAGGTACAGCCTTCTCAATGTACCCAGAGCCCACTTAGAAGTGAGCAGGCACCCCCTTTAAATGCTAAAAGGAGGGTAACTAGCTTAAGGATGAGACAATATATGTACCATGGAACAGAGGGAACGGGAAGCAGGTGAGAACTTCTCAGAGTACTCTTCCTGCACATCCTTCACCAGGCGTTCTACTTCTTCACGCTTAATCTTCTTCCTGCGCTGCTGAAATGGAGACTGGCCCTCAATCATCTCATATAGCAAGCATCCTAAGGCCCACCAGTCAGGGCTGAATGTGTACCGCTCATTCTTCACAACTTCAGGAGCTGCAAAAGTAAGAACCATTTGAACAGGCCTGTGGATATTCTTCAAATGCATGGTGCTGAGTGTTAAGGGAAAGTTTGTAGCTCAGTGAAGGCGAACATGATTTGCACACAACAGGTCCCAGATTCAGATCCTAGTATCTCCAAGTACAGCTGGAAAAATCTAACTCTAGTGAGCCACTGCCCATCAAGATAGATAATATTGAGCTAGGCGGACCAATGTTCAGGCAGCTAGCTATGAGCTCAATAGAACTGGTCAGACTTCTGCTTGTGTTGCCAAGTGCAATTCCAAATCTCATGTTTAATGTAGTGGCAGTGTAAAGTACAGTACTTGCAACTGCTTTAAGAAGCAGCAGCAGGCAGGAAAGGGAATGCTTAACATAGTCCCCAAGCTAGGGTTCAGTGATGTGCCACAAAGAGGAGCCATCTCATCATGTACACCTTTGTAATATACTTTAGTCTTTGGCAGGATTCACCTAATGATTCCCCATAAGCAGAAGCCCTGTGCAAGGTCTTCCACTGGGCAAAAGTGCTCCCCCCACCAAAAAAACCCCCAGAGCCGTAGCTATGGCATGGTGGCGGTGGCTAGCCAGGTTTTTGCCCCAGGTGAAGCCCCCAGAGGCTTCCAGTGTGTGTGTGTGTGTGTGTGTGTGTGTGTGTGTATGCGCACGTGCAAATGCATGTGGGTGTGCCAAACTGGGTCTCTGACCTGGGTGAAATAAAGCCTAGTTTTGTCCCTGCCCAGGCACTCTTCAAACTTGGTGGGAGGAAGAGATGGGAGAACCCCCAGAACAGAGGAGGTTGTTCCATCTGGCAAACTTAAAAGGTTGTGCAGATGGAAAGTTCAACAGAGCATGATGTTTAATTCCTTCCTTCATCCTTCCACAATGCCCAACAATGTCTCAAATACCGTCCTTTTTTCCCCTCCAGCCAAACAATGCAAGGAAGAGTCAATGTCTGTAGAACATCTACCAAGATATACTAATTAAGTGAACGTAGGCTAACTGGCACCATACCAATACTGTACTTTAACCACCACCAGGTTTTTGGCTTGCAGTAACAGGAAAGAATTTGTACAGAACATGGTACCACAAGTCAACAGCAACACTGAACTCTGCTTGCTTTGCCAGTGCTATCCAATCTAAAGCATCCTTGTTCTGACACCTTGAAAGGGGTGCCAATTCTTGCACAATTTTGTTATCTAGACTGCTGCTCTTTGGACACCAGGAAAATGTTAGTCCCAAAGAGTACAAAATTACAGCTTTGCAGAAACAATAGGAGCTTGTTTGTTTTATAAGCACTGTAAATTTCCTACAAAACTTAGGGCCCAAATGTAATTGAAGAGAAGGAATGCTTAGGATCAAGTAAGGTATTGCCAAAATAGAAGTAGTGAAATGGATTACACAGCAATGAAGACAAATGCACTTGCTGAGTCAAACTTAAAGATTTAACTGATAATTTAACTTCTTAGGAGACTAATATCTTACCAGAATGTCGAACCTAGGGTTTAAGTTTCACTGGATTTCCAACATACTACAATAGCACCCACCATTGTTCTGAACTGCAAACTTTGACAAGATATTGCTTTTACCCAGGGTCCTTGGCTGCTGCACTTCATGGTCTCCATGCTGACCCCAGTCAATTCAAAAGGGCATTTCTTGCATACTCACCCATGTAGCCAACTGTTCCCACCCGACCTTTTATCGTCTGTCCCTCCGGAACATAAACTGCGAGGCCCAGGTCAGAAATGCGGATGTGACCTTATCAAAGGAAAGTGAGTCATGCAAGTGTGCAGTTTGCAGATTTCCCTCAACCCAGAACAAAATCTGATATAAAAACTGCAGATAGCAGTGAAGCCAGAGTGTTTAGAACAGACATTTACTCACCATGGTCATCCAACAATATATTTTCTGGCTTCAGGTCCCTAATGGAGGAAAACAGATTGTGTAAGATATAAACCTCAATGGGTTGCTTCTCCAGGACTAGCAGAGGAGAAGCACCTTAAAACATATAAGCAAGAATTAGTGATGCCAATATCACAGGAAAATATGAACTATATAGCCATACCTTTCACATATGGGAAATTTGTGAGGCAGGGCCACTTTCCCAGTACAAATTTTTCCCCTTCTTTCCTCCACTTGGGCATTAATGAGAGTCTGATATGTTTTGGATTCTCAGCTTGGAAGGAGAATGAAAACCTGTGCTGGTGAGTTCTGGGAAACTAGTCCTGCCTCACAGGTTTCCTTGCTAAATTCTGAACAACTGCTTTTACAATATAGTAGCAGTGCTTAAGACACTGCACAAATCCTTGTTAACATAAAACCCCAGTGTGAACCCCAGCTTCACCTGGGAGAAAAGACTGTTCTCACCTGTACACTATCCTCTCATGGTGGAGGTCTTCCAAGCCACAGCAGATTTCAGCAGCGTAGAAAACAGCCCGTGGCTCCTCAAAACCGGCTTCTCCCATGTGGTAAATGTGGAACTTCAGGTCCCCTCCGTTCATGAGAGTCAGGACCAAGCACAAGGCATCTTTTGTTTCATATGCATAGGCCAGACTCACCTACAACACAAGCAAGCCAAGTCAACCACTAGAAAAGCAGAGCAGCCTCGCACAGCATAGCACCTACACACACCTGGCACAATTCTGCACCAGCTATACACAACAAAATAGATGCTCAAAGCAAGATGCAGGATAATTTATGTATCTTGTACAGGAAGGGTTAACTTTGCATGAAGCTTTTTGGGTAAGAGGTGAGGAGGAGCTGAAAAGTATGGCGGGAGTAGGGTTAATAGCGATGGGACCCGACATGATAGTGAGTTGCAGATGGAGAGAACAAAGAATGGCAGAGCTACAACTCCTGCCAGGGCACTTTTCAGCCATTGGAGCAGCCTTCCCCGACTCAGTAACCTTCAAATATTTTGGGCTACAATTCCCAGCATTCCTGATTAGCAAAGGGCTGATGGGAGTTGTAATTGAAAAAATATGGAGGCCACCAGGCTGGGGGGATATGCACTAAATGAAGCACTATTCCCTTATTACTCTCATCTCCTTCAGTGAGACAGACAAATCCAGCCAGACCCCAGAGTAATGTACTTTTATTATATCATCACAATCCTTTCATAGACGGGTTTCCCATTGTTTCATGCCATACAATAGGAATATTTTGACAGTCCAGCATTATGTCAGCAAAGCCAACTGTGTAGGTTCCTCCCTCCTGATAGCTGCCTGGCTAGAAGAGGCAGACAACTGAGTGGGAAAGGCCCACAAAACTGGCCCTGCTCACATGACCATAATTTTCAACTGTTGCAGTGGCAGTGTGAAACAAAGCCATGGAAAAGCAGCTATGGCACATTTGTGGTCATGCATTAAAGCTTAAAAGGGAGAGAAAGTTTTCTGCATGATATTGTATGAAAAAGAATGATTCCCCATATCTTCCCCACAACATCCCCGGTAAGTGAAGAACCTGCATGAACTGGTTATTACTAAAGGGATCTCCATACAGCCAGATCCTAGTCTGCAAATGCTGTAATGCGGACTTATGGCCTAGAAATGTAAGTCCAACAGCCTTATGCTTTTCTTTCCATCTGGGTAAGATTCCAAATATTGCAGTCCTCTCCTGAATTAGTCAAGATTGCTTCACCAGGGTGAGAGAGTCAAAGACATGGCCACGTTTTGTCTCAGCCTCAGTGCAGAAGTAAAGCAGTTCCTATGTACTTACTACAAACCTACTGTTCACTTTCTCCAGTATTTGCTTCTCATTCAAGGCCATGGCTTCCCCCTTCCGCTTTTTTATCCGCTTTTTCTCAAGCTTCTTGCAGGCGTACATCTTCCCAGTGGCCCGCACCTGGCAAGCACAAACCTTGAGGGAAGGGGAAAAAATAAAATAAATGACAATAGGGCAGGTAACTTTTGGAGTATATAAGTTCTGATAAGGGGGTTATTGGATCCCGAAATCATTACTCTCACTTTGAGATACTGAAAGCAAAAGTGATGTGGTACCATAGAGATTAAGTAAATGGTTTATTGCGGCACACCATGAAAGCCCCAACTTTCACTGGAAAAATTGGTTCACAGTCGTGTTGCTGTAACAAGAAGGTGACAGAGCTCAGAATCAAATCCAAAATGAATGGTTGATTGACTCAGTCGTGTTGAATCACTCCCAAGTCACACCTAGTATTCTCCTGCTTGTGAAGTGCTGCATGTAAAACTTAGGAGCATAAAAGATACTTAACACAGCAGTCAGCAACATGCCACCCAACATTCAGCTAATATTTCTAGATATCAGCATTTTAGGTGACCAAGAGTCCCTTCTTATAGGACTCATTCTGTGAGAGAAAAATATGCCATGCTCTATAGATTCTTGAAAGCAGACGTGGGGCTACCTTCTCTGCATTGCTCAGACTACATACCTCTCCAAAGCCTCCCTTTCCTAGTACGCGATACTGGCGGAAAGTGTTCTTGGTCACATGCCGCCTAAGAAGAGAACAGAGGAAACAAGAATTAACGAGAATGAAAGTAGTCCACTCAAAACAGTAAAATGCTTATCCTGTTCCCCCATGCACTCAGTGTAAAACTGTTTTTGGGCAGAATCCAACATGGTGTGAGCAGACTTCTGTCAACCCTCTGGAGCAAATTCTGGGGGCCTGCAAAGGAGAGGAGTCAAGAAAGAGCAGAGGAAAGTGAAGTCTCACTACACAAGCCTACATGTTTCACTCACACATGGAAAGTGCGGGATTCAGCAGTTTATGCAAGGCATAGTATACACACAAGCTTGACAAACTAGAATACAGCATGGATTAAGACTGCATAGTTAGCAAGTTTCAAGGCTGACAAAATGAAAAGCAAAAGCTGATCTTGAAGAGGATTTGTTCTCACTATATGACCAGGAGTCACCGGCTAGCATTTTCTCTTTCACTTATCAGTGAAAGTATCAAGGGCATGAAATGTGCTCTTTACAATGTGCAAAAGGGTATTAGGTTGAAAAGCAAAGCTACACCTATCTCTGACCCCATAGCAAAGTGGAGGTTTACCTTTCCAGATATTTCCATTGCAGGAAACGATTGAAGTAGATGCTGTCAAGGTAGTCAGCAAAAGGCGCCACACTAAGGTAGTCATGGATGAGCCTAGAGGAAGGAAGCGGAACCCATCAGAAACAGTGAGGTTCCCCTATGCCACAAAATAAAGAGAACAGAACCTGAGGCACCTCTGGGAGGAAAAAAAAGCAGAAATGAACATCAAGTTTTAAAGCTTGAGACACTTCAAGGGATTTGACAAGCTCTTGGATCATAAGGCGAGGAGTCTGCCAGAGACAGCAGACATTGAGAAGGCTCAGGCAACATACTATCCAATCTGGAGAGCAATAGGAAGGAATATGATGGTTACTTCCCTTTTCAGAGGCTGCCAGAGAAAGCAGGGCTCCAGATCAGAGGCTCTTTGTTCATACACCACAGCCACGTAGGTCACTGCCAGAGCTTTTTGCACAGCTGCAGCAGCAAGACCTGGGGCCAGAAATCTGAATTATATGGGCAAATGCAGCAAGATGAAGAACACAAAGACTCTAGACAAGGCTCACTTTTAAGAAAATTCCTTTTGATACTGCCACAGCTTCCAAGCACCACCACTACCATCAGTACAAAGTGCCACCACAATGTTATCTGCAATCATCCAAGCCTGGTCTGATATTTGCTGCCAAGGTAGTGAGAGATGCTTTAAAGGTAGGTCTTACTTATTTAAACCCTGCCTTTCCTCCACTGAAATCAAGATGGTATACATATGGCTCTCAGGCAGCCAGTCTTCCATCTAGGTATTGACCAGATAATACCTGCCTGGCTTCAGCAAAGGCTGCTGCATCATGTGCCTTCAGACTATGCCCTGGGACTTCTAATTAAAGTACATTGTTCCCAAGGGAGAAAGAATACAAGCCAAAAGGAGCATCACAACAGGCTGGGGTGACTCGTTTTCCATTCACCATCAAGAGCAGGGTAAGCCATCTAGCAACTCAAATATTAATATTTCTTAAGCCTTATAAGCCACCTATACACAACATGGCACCCACTGGCTCTCCTACAGCAGGGAAATAAACAGTACATGAATTTCAAGCAATGAATTCCAAGACTTGCTGGTGACAACCCACTTACAGATGCAACAGGTTGTATGCAAAGTTAGCCCCTACTAGATAATCAGTGACTACTGTCCTGGGAAATGTGCACATCATGAAACAAATTCCTCCCAATCCCCCCACTCACTTGGTAGATTCCTTAAAGAGCTCTTTACCCGGTTCCTGCTCCAGTCGCTTAGAACACAGATTTACTAGCTCCAAGGGCACTTCAGGCACATGATCCACACCCTGAGAATAGATAGGATCAGACAGGAAAATCAGAGTTCTGTTGTTTTTAATACCTATGAATTTATATCCTGCCCTTCCCATAAATCCCAGAGCAGGTAACAACATTATTAAGCCAACCAACAATACAAGAAAACAATGAATAGTGAGAACAGATAATCAGATCCAACCACAATAATTACATATTCATTATTGCAGCAACTAAGTATTCATAAATGTCTGGAGAAACCAGGAAGGCCAGAGTCTGACCCTGGAATGTCAATGAAGTTAGCACCAAGTGCCCCTCATGAAAGAAGCTGTTCCAAATTTGGGGCATCACCATGGAGAAGGTACTACTAATGGACTGGTAGAGTCAAATTCAGCACCAGGTTTGAAGGAGGTCCTGGGCAAGGTGCCTCTGGGCCCCTCCAAAGCACCATCCTGGGGTGACCCCAAGTGAGCTTACAGAGTGGCAGGGGTGGACAGCACCAGGGGAAAGTGGCAGGTGTGGCTATGGCAGCTGCCCGGCCTTGTTCTTCTCCTTCATCACCAGGCCCTTAAAATTTAAAAAGATTGTAATAATGCCAAGCTTGCTGGGGAGTCAGGTTAGCACATTGGGGAGGCAGCAGTGCTGGCACAAATAATTTGTTTCTTCCGAGTACCTGGCAGTGAAAGGACAAGTGCTGGACAGATGCCGCCACTACTATCTTTCCTCCCAAATGCTTCTGGCTCCAGACATTGTTGTTGTTGTTTAGTCGTTTAGCCGTGTCCGACTCTTCGTGACCCCGTGGACCAGACATAGTATTGCTCTATTATGGGGAGAGCCTGTGGGGCATGGTGGATGCTTCTTCTTCTTCATATTTGCTCTTGGAGTGCCAGGCACTTAAAATTAAACCTCCTAGGAGGTCCTCAGCCCCCCACGCCTGCTGGGAGCTAATGCCAGGCCTAGGTACCAATGTTCACTCCCTGTTGGTAATATTTAGGCATATCCTTGACCCAGCTTGGTGTAGGGCAAGTGCAGCTCTCATTAAGGCAACTTTCCTTTTGTTTAGCTAATGCAAATCTCACCTTAGGGGTCAAATACGTCTCAATCAGGAGCTGACCACACTCTTTTAGTTTTTCATCAGGGGTTACTTCATACTCTGCCTATGTAAGAATGAGGATAAGAAAGCAATACTCAATTATTCTACATACCTCTCCCAAGAATAAAAATGCAGAAATGATGTAAACAAACTACATATTCTTGTATAATCCAAGAACCACCACTACCTGTTCCAGACTCCACTATGAGCAGAATATGAGTACAGTGGTACCTCAAATTACATACGCTTCAGGTTACAGACTGCGCTAACCCAGAAATAGTACCTCGGGTTAAGAACTTTGCTTCAGGATGAGAACAGAAATCGTGCTCTGGCGGTGCAGCAGCAGCGGGAGGCCCCACTAGCTAAAGTGGTGCTTCAGGTTAAGAACAGTTTCAGGTTAAGAACGGACCTCCGGAACGAATTAAGTACTTAACCCGAGGTACCACTGTACTGTGAAAGTAATGAGGTAAGAATAAAGCCACTTGTAATGAGGTAAGAATAAAGCCACTTGGATTTGCAATATGCCACATGCCAGGATCCCTTCCTTCAAAACTTACAGTTAATCAGCTCCCATGTTTAACCCCCAGGAAGGGATTCTCACACAGATGTGCTTACCACAGCATCCAGGAACTTGACACAGCGCATAAGCTCAAGCCGTGTTTCACAAAACAGTCTGAAAAGCAAACGACCAATGGGCTGCTTCTCACACAAACTGTGGTAGTCCCGCTCTGGAAAGAAAAGAAGCATTAGTCAACGGCTACTAGCCCATACCACAATCAGGGAACATTTAAGAGAGGAGGACACTAAACCCATTTTCAAAAGAATTTACTTGATCTGATCTGAAGCAACCACTTTAGCAATCAAAGATTAGGAGAAGGGTCCATTCCAAGTCCTGAAAGCTATTCAATGGAGCAGATAACCTGTGTGTCTGACTCATTTTAATTCCCAGCCATAAGATCTTCATGTTAAATCTTTATCTTCAAGAATTAAAGTGCTCTCTTGAGTAACTGGCATTTCCTTCTGGCCACTGCACGGAACTACTTTTGCAAAGTCACTCAACTGCTTATCAGAAAGTTTAGGAACCTGCATGGCCATAGCTGAATCATGGAGCAGAAAGTGAATTTCCAAGCAATATATCTGGTAACTCGTATGGCAGGAATGGGGAACTTGTCGCCCTCTTGATGATGTTGGACTCCAAACCCCCATCAGCCACAGCCAGCATGGCCAGTACCAGGAATTATGGAAGTTGTGGTCCAGCAACATCTGGAGAGCCACAGGTTCCCCACATCTATGCAAGGGGATATTAAATGTCTTTGCAGCAGGATGGAAACATTCATGGACGCATATCTTCTCTAGCAGGATATCAATAAACATTTTTTTTTCTTTTCTATGTGACAGAATCACCACAACTCATTGCTCCCTAGGAAGGTGCTGCTGGTATTTTAAATCAAAGTACAGACTATTTAACACTTGTTCAGAAGAGGAGGGGAGATCTTATCAGGCACCAGCTTAAGGCTTGCTTCTTTTCATGTTTTTGCCTTTTGGGGCGTCATAGGTTTGTTCGAGTGGATGAGGGTGTCCCCCCCACCCCCCATTTTGGCTATAATAATAAAGACAGGTCAACTTGTCCACCAGAGGAGTTACTTGGCACAACTACAAGTCAGACATATCAAGTCCCAAAATTTAGGTTAATTTTTCATGGCTTGATTTTAGGCTCTCAACCTGAAGTCTATACACCAGAGGTGTTGTTCCCTCTCCTTCACATCGCTGACTTAATTGGAGGGAGTAGGGAGAAGAGGAGTGACATTATTTTTGAAATTTACATTTTATTGGTTTCAATTATTCATACAGAAAGACAATGATCAACAATTTTACTCTCTCTTTCTCACCACAGGAGGAACAACATTATTAAATCATGTTAAAAGGATTCCGCCCTCTTCCCCTGATCTGGGCATGTCTTCTAATCTGAAGGGGACAAAGCTAGAAAAGTGACGTCAACAGCAAAGCAACAGGTCAGCCTCCTCAGGGTAACTTAATTCAGCTGTATTGGGTATAACTGAACGATTCGTTCACACAAGATGCAGAGATATGGCAGAATTAATGAGCAGAGGCTAATAGAAGGCAGCGAGGCCAGAACAGCAATATCATGCAGAGAAGCAGTAGGCAGTCTCCATCTGTAGGCAAGTGCTTTGGGTTCGCAGAATCCGTTAATTATTAATTTCTTGAAGCACACAGAAAAACTACAATGGTTATGGAGAGGTAGGTTATGGCTGTGGGGTACAGGCTGACTAGTGTAGCTAATGATCCCTTTCCAGGGCCCCCTATTCTCCTTCTAATCAAGATTCATGCTCAGATCAAGAGGCGTGTGCAGAAATCCAGGACCTTGTAACTTTGCAAGAAAGAAACAGGCCAGCTATGCTTCCATCCCTATGTTGGAGGTGAGGAACCTCAAGCCCAGGTGCCAATACAGCCTACCAAGCCTCTATCCTGCCCTCAAGATTCTCCCCGTGTCATGCCCCTTCCCCATCCCTGCTCCACACCGTCCTGGAGTGCTTTTGCCTGGCTGATTGATGTCCCTGAACTGTGATGATGCTTCTTGCAGTTTATGGGTTTGTTTATCTTCCACAGCTGGCAATATTTTGAACGAACCTGGCAGTACTTTGTAGCTCCACCCATAGGTGTAGCCAGGATTTCTGGGGGGGGGGGCAGGCCTTTTGTTAGGGGGGCAGAACCTCAGTTAGCTATGTATTTTTATTGATTTTTATTGATGGGGGGCAACTGCCCCCCCGGCTATGCCCACGGCCCCACCCACTGTGGTGGAATTAGTTTAATCATCACTTCCCAGGAAGCCGTTCTTCTGTAAATCACCCCACCCCAACTCTCTTACGGAGCATGTTGTAAGTGTTCTCTTCTGTGCAGCAGTTGCTCTAAGGAAACTGTGGTTTCCTGATGTAAGAATACAGTCGAAGAAAACAAAGCCAATGCAGAAAGTGTGGAAAGGGGGGGAAGGGGCCATATGCAAACTGCACCATTTCCTTCTCTCGCAGGAAATGAGTGTATTGAATGAAGGAAGGTGAAGGGGTCAGAGCCTGGCAGGATTAGAGGATTCTTCATAGCTCTGCTGGATAATGGACACTTTTTGCAGAAAAATTATTTTCTACCCAGGCCACGTAGAGGCAAGAGCTTTGCTCTAGGCAGCTCTGTGTTAAATCAACCTGGTCCAAGGTCTCCATAATGGGAGGGAGGAAAGGAAATTAACACACAAGAAGTATAAAAGAGTAGGGAATCTCAAGTTTCCCATATTCTTTCAAAGAGAAAGAAAGTCCATAGGCAGGGATGGAGAACCTACCATCCAACTAATGTTGGACCTTAACTCCCAGAAGCCCAAGTCAGCAACACGAATGGCCAGGGTTGATGGAAACCACAGTTTAATAGCATCTAGAGGGCCACAGACTCCCCTGGAATAGGACTTCTTCATACAGTTACTAAGAAGAGCCAGTTTTCACAGACACACAAAATGCACCCGACAACCAGCAGCTCCCTAATCAATGTGCCATGTCCAAAGTTATTTTGTTCAAACTATGACAGAAGAACGTTCTGGCAAGCTGCAAACTAGACACTATAAGGAGATAGAAGGAGGACAGGGAAATAACAGGGACTTTTCCCAGAGCAAAGATAGTGAAAGAGAAAAATGTTATCCAAACAAAGCCAGGCCAACTGAGTTCAAAGTGGACAAATGGCTAGGCTATAAATGAAGAATGCAAGTTTCAAGAGTCAGTGCTAGAATACTGGCAGAAAACCAGCAGTGATTTTTATCTTCAATCGAACACAAGATAATGAACATTGTAAGGAAATGGAATATTAAAGTGAAACCACTTCACAACTGGGCATTATTATGGACAACACAAGGAAACCCTGACATGGTCCAGCTTGGATCAACAAGGGGGAGGGGAAGTATACAGGGAGAGAAACTGAAAAGGACATTGAGCTGTAGGGACACATTAAGCTCTTTCAGGGAAAGGACCATAGTGCAGCGGTAAAGCACATGTTTTTCATGCAGGGGGTTCCAGGTTCAATCCCCGATATCTCCAGGCAGAGTTGGGAAAGTGAAACCCCAAAGAGCTGCTAAGTCTGTGTAGTCTAGACAATGCTGAGTTTGATGGGCCAATAGCCTGAATGAGATCCAGAAATCAGTATTCAGAGTCTTATGAATAGTAGCCCAGAAATCAGCATGACCAGGGTGTAAACAAATCATCGAGTGTTTAATGGAATGAGTTTCTCTCACTCATCTCAGTAACCTTTTATGGTAAACCCATAACCTGATGTTATAAATTTGAAAAGTAACAATATTACTATTGAATGTTTATTAGAATTAAGGAACATCCTTCTACAACCCCCCCCCCACAAAAAACAGTACCACGTAAGACCTATTCAAATTGCCAGTTCTTCTTTAAAGAATCTATAGTGCTAGAAAATAATTACACCATTAGTCCATAATAAAATAATAATAATAATAATAATTTATTTATACCCCGCCCATCTGGCTGGGCTTCCAGAAATAATCACCACCAAAAGAAATCCAAATCTAACAGATAAATCTTGATTTAGTGTAGCATTCAAGTCATCTATAAAAGGCCTCTTTTTAAATAATTAATGGTACTGCTGTATCAAGGCACATGATCTTGGGAACAAGAACCACTGTTGTCAACTGCAAGGAAATCTGTACAGCTACCATACACCCGATAGCAAAGAGCTTCTAATGCAGCTAGGCTGAGCAAGTCCTGTCAGTAACAAGAAACTCTGTGCAGCATTCTTTTCTGCACCTTGGGCTATTTTCACAATTTTGTCACTCCCAATAATTCCTTTGTCTCCAATAATTTGAAGCCTGTCTGGAGAACATGTGCCTCTCCAACTTCCATTAGCCCTGATCAGCATGGTCAACAGTCAAAGAGCAGAAACATCTGGAGAGTTGCAAGCGCCCCAGGCTTGATTTGAAGGGATGCTCTACAGAGAAAGTCAACAACTTTCCCCTTGGATAGGTCTGTGGGCTGGCATCCTAATAGTGAAAGAGGCCCCAGCTAGCATTTAAGAAGAAATTGCTTTAACTGCAATTCAGAAACCAAGCTTAAGCTAGAAGACTGCATGATTTCAACTTGCCAGGCAACAGTTCAAGTTTTCCCATACCACATCTAACTGTTCACAGCCTTCTCAATGAGTATTTTTTGTTCACTATAATTAGAGATGAGGAGCTGTATAGTTAATAGGTGGAAGAAAAGAAGCAACCAAGCTCCAACTTGGAGCAGGAATACAGGCTCTAAAGCAGGGGTAGGCAACCTAAGGCCCAGGAGCCGGATGCGGCCCAATCGCCTTCTCATTCTGGCCCACGGACGGTCAGCGTGTTTTTACATGAGTAGAATGTGCCCTTTTATTTAAAATGCATCTCTGGATTATTTGTGGGACCTGCCTGGTGTTTTTACATGAGTAGAATGTGTGCTTTTATTTAAAATGCATCTCTGGGTTACTTGTGGGGCATAGGAATTTGTTCATTTCCACCCCCAAAATATAGTCCACATGGTCTGAGGGATGGTGGACTGGTCCATGGCTGAAAAAGGTTGCTGACCCCTGCTCTAAACTGACATGCAGTTCCCCCCAATACTTCATAAGAACTTCAAAGGGATCAGGGAAGACATGGCTGGAGTTTTCCAGGAATGATTAAGCCAGCAGAAGTGGGATAGGAGACTGCTTGGATTTTGACACAGCTGGAAGAAAATCACTGGTTCCCAGGGGAAAGCAAGTGGAATTAAGGAGAGCAGTAAAGTAGCTGCTTAAAATGAGATCAGGTAAACTTTGCAAGAGGAGAAAGGCATCTCTAAACTTATGAAGATGCCTTGTACCAAGTCTGATCACCGGTCCATCTAGCCCGATACTGCCTACTCTTGAGTAGCAGCTGCTCTACAACATCTCAAGCAGAGGCAGTTCCCAGTTCAGATACCCAAGACTGCATCTGGGACTTAATGCATATAAAGCATATGCTCTATTACTGAACTAGAACCTCTCACAATGCTGCCAGTGGGTCATGGTGATGCAATACTAAGGCAAAATAATTGCACAGGAGTGTTTGGTAATGACAATGCTACCGCCACAAAATCCTGCATCATCAGGCAATCATATGAACAAGCATAGCTTACCATAGGGTGAATGTACAAGATCTTATGCCAAGCACTCAAGGCTTCTTTGTAACCCAGCCACTTCCACTCCACACACAAGAAAGCAGGGAAAACAGCATCTCTCCAATGCAAGCATGCTCCTTACCCAAAGTATGCCGAAGATCTTCACATTGGCTGATGTGTGGGAACTGTAGCATTTGGCGCCATTTTTTACTCTTGCCTTTTCGGTTTCCTCCTCCACCTGCATGACACAGAATTGGGCGGGGGGGGGGGGGAATCAGCAGGAAAACCAAGAACAGAAGCTGATTAGTATGTTCACCTTCTGATGTTCTGTTATTAACATTTCAGTCATATCAGAATTCCTTTTAAAGGTGGCCAGGAAATAATTGGCCAAATTTGCTCCAAGACTTTTCTGAGCACTGTCCACATCACCATTTCAGAAAAGTTCAAATATTCAGGTTAAGAACTTGGTTAAGTCACAGATTGTCTCCCTGTAACTAACCTTCAGTTGGCTGGATATACAATGCACTGAAATATGATAGTTCAGAGTGTATTCCATACCACAGTTACAGGTATGCATTACAGTCAAGTAACCAAATGCCAAGAAGGAAGATTTTTTAAAAAACTTTATTCCAAAACTGGTTTTTTTTTTTTTACAAAATTACAAACATCAAATTCAAAATCCATATTCGTTTTGTAACATACCGTATTTTTCGGACTATTGGACGCACCGGTCCATAGGACGCACCTAGATTTGGGGGGGGGGGAATAAAGGCAAAAAAAATTTATTCCCCCCCCCGCCAGGCGCGGGGCTGGGGCGGGGAAGCCCGAGCTTCCCCCTCCCCCAGAACGGGACCCAGAGCCATGCCGAAGCTGCACGCAGCTTTGGCATCGCTCTGGGAGCTTGCGGGGGTGGGGGAGGAGGAAGCCTTCCGCCAGCCTCCAAACCATGTCGGGAGACAGCGGGATGGTGCGCTGCGCCTCTCCCGCTGTCCCCCGAGTTTGCGGGGCTGGGCCAGCCTTCTAACCAAGTCGGGGACAGCGGGAAGGGCGCGCTGCGCCCCTGCCGCTGTCTCCCGAGTTTGCGGGGCTGGCGACGGGGAGGAGCAGGCTTCTCCCCCCGCCAGCCTTCTAGCCAAGTCGGGGGACAGCGGCAAAGGCGCGCTGCGCCTCTCCCGCTGTCCCCCGAGTTTGCGGGGCTGGCGACGGGGAGGAGCAGGCTTCTCCCCCCGCCAGCCTTCTAGCCAAGTCGGGGGACAGCGGCAAAGGCGCGCTGCGCCTCTCCCACTGTCCCCCGAGCTTGTGGGGCTGGCGGTGGGGCTCTCCTGAAGCCTGGAGGTTGTGGGGCTGGTGTGGGGGGGGGAGAAGCAGGCTTGCTTCTCCCACCCCCAGCCTCCAGTTCAGGTCGGGGAATAGCGGGATGGCGGAGCGCCGCCATCCCGCTATTTCCCGACCTGATCTGGAGGTTGTGGGGCTGGGGGGGGGGAGAAGCAGGCTTGCTTCTCCAGCCCCCAGCCTCCAGTTCAGGTCGGGGAATAGCGGGATGGCGGAGCGCCGCCATCCCGCTATTCCACGACCTGATCTGGAGGTTGTGGGGCTGGGGGGGGGGAGAAGCAGGCTTGCTTCTCCCACCCCCAGCCTCCAGATCAGGTCGGGGAATAGCGGGATGGCGGAGCGCTGCCATCCCGCTATTTCCCGACCTGATCTGGAGGTTGTGGGGCTGGGGGGGGGGAGAAGCAGGCTTGCTTCTCCAGCCCCCAGCCTCCAGTTCAGGTCGGGGAATAGCGGGATGGCGGAGCGCCGCCATCCCGCTATTCCACGACCTGATCTGGAGGTTGTGGGGCTGGGGGGGGGGGGAGAAGCAGGCTTGCTTCTCCCACCCCCAGCCTCCAGATCAGGTCGGGGAATAGCGGGATGGCGGAGCGCTGCCATCCCGCTGTTCCCCGACCTGATCTGGAGGTTGTGGGGATGGTGGGGGGGGAGAAGCAGGCTTGCTTCTCCCCCCGCCAGCCTCCAGATCAGGTCGGGGAATAGCGGGGTGGCGGCTCTGCGCCTCCCCGCTGTCCCCAGCTTTTGGGTGCAGGCTGCTGCCCGCAAGCCTTGCGAGCCCGCGGGACATCCCGCCGGGCTTGCAAGACTTGGGATAGCTTCCTGAAGCCTGGAGAGCGAGAGGGGTCGGTGCGCACGGACCCCTCTCGCTCTCCAGGCTTCAGCAAAAGCCTGCATTCGCACCATAGGACGCACACACATTTCCCCTTCATTTTTGGAGGGGGAAAAGTGCGTCCTATAGTGCGAAAAATACGGTAAGCCTATTACATAATTGACTAAATTAAAATATACCTAATGGCCAAGAAGGAAGAATTTATTGACACAGCCATTCCTAAATTTCAACTTATGTGCTAAAACTGATTCAAAAGTTAGCCATAAGTTAACCACTTCAGTCTGAAACAGTGCATAAGGACATCTATCGCTTTAGTTCTTTCTTCCAATGAATAAAGGGATAGTTAATTAGCATTTTGAACAAAGGAGGCTAACTGGCACTGCAGATTTTACCATGCTAATAGGAGGTATTAGGGCTAATTGCCCAGGCCTTCTAGCTTGCCTTCAGGCACTATTGTGCATTATAAGATTTAAGGATTGAAAATACTGCTTGTTCTATACATACCACCTACTTCTATACACACCACATACCATCAGAAGGGGAAGCCACCTCCTTCCCACCCAGCAAGGTCGCATAATTAGGCCCTTTTAACAGCCCTGAGCAAAGACTTCCAGACTGCATGAGAATACTTAGGTCTCTTTCCCACACTAACAAAACTGAATTGGACAAGCATAGTTCTAAAATCTGCAGAGCAAAGGGTCTAGAGGCCAAGAAACAGTGACATGCCAGACTACCCATTAACTTCCTAACTGAAGAAAGATTTAAATCTGCATTTGCCACATACAATTCCAGCATCGACTCACACTTCTCACTGCTCATATATGAGCAGGACTGAAGTTTGCTAAGCTGTTCAATCTATACATACCCATCAGCAGTACAAGACAACTAAAACAAGCCAGCCCTCAGCCCTCAGCAACATGGTTGCCAGCCTGGTTTATTGTGTCTACTTACTGCCACTACAACAGGCTATTCAAATGAGGGTAGGGGAAGCAGCCAGCTGCATATAATATAGTGCCTACTACATCTTGGTACTGTACCAGCCAACATGGGTTACTAGCCTGCTAAAGGGTTAGTAATCTGTATTTCCATGCTTATGTGCGTGGAGGCCCAGAACGTAACCCCCACGTAAGGAGTGTATTCGCCTGAATGGAATTCCTGATAGCCTAGACGGGGGGGGGGGGGGTGTTTTTCAATGCAAGGGACACCTACCTGTGTGGCGAATGGCAGCTATGGTCAGACAAACAACCCTCTCCATCCATCCATCCAAGCAAGCAAGCAAGCAAGCAAGCAAGCGGTATTGTTGCAGTTCAAGGACACAAAACCACTATAGGAAGATGAAATGCAAGGCCAGTGAGGGGTGTGACCTGGGGAGGAGGCACTGCATTGGCACAGATCTGAAGGCTAGATAGAGGTCTGAGGGCAACCTGGGCCTGAGGTTACCCATCCTCAGCCAACTTATTAAATAAAGGCTATATTCACTACAGCTTCATTATAATCAACAGAAACTGGCTGAAAGGGAGGAGATAAGCACTTCTAAGAAACATGGCTCCAACATAACATTATTATATGGAAATAATTGCCAGAGTGCTGTCCATTAGGCATATCATTTAAGACAGAAGGGACAGTGGCTTTGAGACAAGTTCTACTCTAAAATATTTTACATTGGCATCCTGCTGTGGGGAAGATAGGGGCAGAAAGAACACACATGCATGGTCCATAGCAATTCTTGTCTAGGTCCCCTACCCCCCCATAAGAAAAGATGCATTGCCTAAAAGAAGCTAAGAGTTGTGCCATATTATTGACTGTACAAATCTAGGAAGGAAGTGAATCAAGGCAGTGGGCTGCACAATACTTTCTCACTGAAGGAAGGTAGGTGGGGCATTGAGAGATCTCTGCTGCAAAAAAGTCCCCAGCTTCACCTCTCAACAAGGCCAGAGCTGAAAGTCCACCCGCCCCCCATTGCAACTCAGTACAAAGGGAAAGAAAGAAAACAGTATCTCAACCACCACTCCATGCAATTTTATCTCTGCTGGTCAGCGCTACTGCAGCAAAAGCATTTTTAAAGAGAAAGGCAGAGGGAGTACAGTATCTTCTCCTGAATCTTCTCTTCTCCTTTATCACCAATAAATATAGCCAGCCCCTTTCACAAGTATTTGAACATGGGATCCACTATGTATACAATTCATCCTCCTAAGAATTTCAGCATTTAAAATATAAATAAAATAAATGGTTAGATGTTGAATTATCCCTTATGGTTTAGGACTGGCTTCCAAGGTTTTATGTCATTTTTAAACCAGAAGGGGCTTAGCAGGATTTCCAGTTGCCCATGGGGGCTGCCTCGGTGTCATATCTGGTTGCTTCTTCCTTTCACTAGCAGAAGCAAAATGATGTAGCATCAGTAAACATACATAACTGACATAGGTTGTTGAATTCAGAATTTTCTTGGTATAGTTTTTTGGCTAGCTTAGAACAGTATGTTCATTTACATGACAGTACATACAGCCCTGCACTTAAGCTCACCATCTCATAGGGATGTGTACAATTTAAGTGAATAATATATTCAATTCCCTCCTAATTCTGCTGTTATTACCATAAGAGGGTTGCCCTAAAAAAGTATGAGAATCTGTTAATGAGGCATAAGTCACAGCCCCATAAGTCACCAGTGAGCCTGCAGCCTGAACCAGAATATAGTTGTTTTAGCAAGCAGTAATAATTATTATTGTTATTTATTAAATTTGTATTCTGCTATTCCCCGTGGATTTCAGGGCAGTTCACAACATTTGAGTTGCAGAACATTTCAGTTTGGAATAAGCCAAGGCTAGAAGCCAAGGCATGAAGAGGCAATATACTGTGGTGTGAGGTGCTGCTTCTCCTGTAAGTAGCTCTGAACAAAGGAGGATTGGGCAACTTGTTCAGCCTCAAAGGCTATTTCAAATGAATAGTTCCTAGTCACAGTACTCCTATGAAAGACCACGCAAACAACCAAGTGTCTATCTTTTTGTACACAAGCTGCTAAGTGGGTTTCAGTGCATGTACTGAAATAAAAGGTAAAGGTAAAGGTAAAGGTACCCCTGCCCGTACGGGCCAGTCTTGACAGACTCTAGAGTTGTGCGCCCATCTCACTCAAGAGGCCGGGGGCCAGCGCTGTCCGGAGACACTTCCGGGTCACGTGGCCAGCGTGACATCGCTGCTCTGGCAAGCCAGAGCCGCACACGGAAACGCCGTTTACCTTCCCGCTAGTAAGCGGTCCCTATTTATCTACTTGCACCCGGGAGTGCTTTCGAACTGCTAGGTTGGCAGGCGCTGGGACCAAACAACGGGAGCGCACCCGGGTGGGAATTCGAACCGCCGACCTTTCGATCGGCAAGCCCTAGGCGCTGAGGCTTTTACCCACAGCGCCACCCTCATGTACTGAAATATTTGCGTGCTAATAAATGCATGTGTAGCACATCTTCTGTAGCAGATCTCATCTACCCATGCCTCCATTTCCCTTCCTCCATTGCTTCCCTATGTTTATTTTAGATTGTAAGTCCAGCTAGAGACCTGTTATCTATTTTTTGTGAAGTGTTCATATGGTGCTAGGTTAATCATCATCATCATCTTGAATGTGTACAGGCACTTTCCTTTCTGTTTTCCTGAACAGAAGTTTTCTCTATATAGAAAAATTGTCACATTTGGCTTTAAGAGGGCATGCTGGAAATGTACAATGAGCTCAACGGCTTCATCTAATTTACACAGCTACTTAAATTCAATTACAAAACAGTGCATAAAAAATTCATGGAAATGGTAGTTCTTAGTGGCTATTGTATATAAAGCAACTTCTCGAATGCTACCATAGCCATTTCTGAGTAGTTACATTTCCTTCGATGAGATAGAACAACAATCTATACATGGCAAACTTTTATATGCCTACTTAAAATCAAATGACTTTTCTTATTGATTTTAGTCTTCACAGGCTCACCTTCCTTGAGGCTGTATACCCAAGAAATAATTCCTGACAAGCTAAAAGGTCAGGGGGAGGGAGAGAATTGAAGTTTTACACAAGCTAAGCTTTTCAGCCACCTAGCACGATCAAGAACTCCAGCCTGCTTAGCTTCATATGTTCACAATTATGAGCAAGCCCATCACTTATTATATGGATTCAGAGAGACCCAATTCACAAGATCTAAAATTGTATATCTTATTGTTTGCACACTGAAGACCTAATGCCATCCAGTTTTCAAGGCATATAAAAACTTACTTTTAAGAGTTAAAGCAGATGTCTTCAGGACCTTAGAGCCCATGTACAATACAGAAATGTCTGGTCATCTTCTATTGCCCAGCCAAATGTGAAACATTTAATGGATATTTAAATTGGACCCAATTCCATTTGGACAAAAACTGAATAGAAGAAGTGATGGGGAACCCTAAACTCTTGCCAGAAAGCCTTTCAGGCCTAATGGCCTGGCAGCTTCTCTTAAAAACAAAGGTCAGTAATTCATGGCAAGGAATACTTAGGCCTCAGTATCATATACAGATTTCATACAGCCTTAGGTTTATCAATGCTGAACTCAATTTTTATTTCTCATCAAAAAATCCATTCCTCAATTCTCTCATCCCAATCTGATGAGAGAAAGAAGCTGCCCATGTTATTTTTGCTTCACAACCCACTTCATAAAACTTCGTATAAATCAAGAACTCCAATTTTAATCTTTCACCATATTTTTATTCTTGGCTTCCCATGATTCAGTATATGAATGCTTTAATCCATGGCAGTACAAACCCTGTGAATTAAGTACTTTGAATATACCATGGGTCAGCAAACTTTTTCAGCAGGGGGCCAGTCCACTGTCCCTCAGACCTTATGTGGGGGGGGCATATATATTTTGGGGGGAAATGAATGAATTCCTATGCCCCAAAATTAACCCAGAGATGCATTTTAAATAAAAGCACACATTCTACTCATGTAAAAACATGCTGATTCATGGACCGTTTGCGGGCCAGATTTAGAAGGCGACTGGGCCGGATCCAGCCCCTGGGCCTCAGGTTGCCTACCCATGGAATATACACTTGCTGTAATTCTAAGGTTTAGGGTTTGTTTCTTTTTTTTAACAAGGCCTTTAACAAGAGCAGTTCTTAGAAATTCTAACTTTATACAGCTTCTGTCTGTTGAAGTACCAAATGATCAAGAAACACCTGTTTCTCTGGATGAAAGGAACCCAGATTCACTGTCAAAGAGCCAGAGAGTACAAAGCTCTTAAAATCTCTTTTGATTAGCATTATGTTGTAGCTCTTTCATGCTTGGGCCACTTCCACTATAAAACGTTCTACATTTAAGACACGCACGACAGTTTGGTTGATTTACTTTCATTTCACACAAATTATGCATTTAGATGGCTGGTGTGGGGATGTACGGTATATACCTGTATAATAAAAAAGCTTTTAGGAGAAAGGCATGTATGGCTGAAAAAGCTAGGGTGGCAAGCTAAGAATGCACGGTGATGATTTTAATATTCACTGTCTTTAGAGTGAAATAAATGCCAGGACAACTTAGGCAGCCAAAACCCTCAGCAACACAACCTCAGCTAGCAATAATTTTGCATTAAAGGCTGAGTATCGTCTGGCTGGAATGAAGATATTAATTAGGCAGTGTGTTTATAGCATACTGTGAAGTAGGCTAATTGAAAACTATGGGGTAGGTATAATCTACTGTGCTACCATAACATTACACAGAATTTGGTTCTGAGTTGAGAACTGAGCAACTGGAGGCACCCAGTTTTCATTTACAAGACATAAATGCTTGGAAGTCTCAAGAACTAAACCAGAGGGGGATAGGACTTCCACATTCAGGTGGTGTGACTTCAGTATTCTCATGCCCCTCTGGGGTTGAGGCGCTCATCTCGCTTTATGGGCCATGGGAGCCGGCATTTGTCTGCAGTTTTTCCGGGTCATGTGGCCAGCATGACTAAGCCGCTTCTGGCGCAACAGAACACCAAAACCAGAGCAGCACACAGAAACGCTGTTTAGCCCAAGTGGCTCAGTGGTTTAGACCACAGCGCCACCCCTGTGAGTCCCCAGACCCTACAGCTCCCTTCACCCTCAGCCAGTATAGCCAGCAGTCACGGATTATGAAAGCTGTAGTCCAACAACATCTGAAGACCCAAAGTTGGGAAAGCTGCCTTAAAGACTATCATTTTTAATACGGAACAAGCTTTTGGGGACTAGAATATAGTTCACAGAAGCTTATGCCATAATATGTGGTTTTTAAGGTACTACAATACTTTATTTTTTGTTGCAACAGGTAGTTGTCCCTCTGGAAATTGTCAAGTGGGGTTCTACTTGCTAAGATCTGCAACTTTTCTAAATAAAATAGTGGAAACAAGAGTAAAGAAATCAGAGTTGAGGAGCAAACTAAACTGACACTTCTGCTCCAGGATGGTATCTAAGGCTGTGGAAAGTATGTATTCTGCAGTAAGGGAAAAGGTTGCTTCATCTTCTTCCTCATCCATTTTCTTCTCCATGTGCAGATGATCAAAAGAAAGACCATGATAAAAGTTGCTTTCACATTTTATATTACCTCATTAGTGAGCTGTGAACCCTCTATTTTTCAGACACTTAAATATAAGCCTGTGTCTGGTTATACACAAAAATGACTCACCACTACAAAGCCAAATTGTTCCCTTAAATTTAAGGCTTACAATTTTGACACAGAGGAAAATATCTGGTAGCAGAGTATCCCAATAAAAAGCATTGCCAAAGTCTGCTAAAGAAAGCGGGGAAAGATTCCAGCACTCAGACCAGTGTTTTTTAATGCAGCGGTCCCTTATGGAATCTCATGCACATATGCCAAGTCAGAAGCCAATTCTAGAACATCTCTGCTGCTCTATGGCAAGAGAACATTGTTCCTGTGAGGAAACCCATTCAAGAGATACACTACTACTACTGTACTACAATATTTTTTTAAAAACCAACAACTTCTGATGCTCCACCTAGAGTTAAGTAGTACAATGGGTAGCATGCCTCTGACTCTACTAGCATCCAGAATCCTGAAGACTTCCAAATCTTGTCAATTTATCAGATCCTCTCAGTCTAGGGAGGTGAGATGGCAGTCCTACATTTGGGAGAGTGCTTCTTATGAGCGTTTTTGGAGAAGAGTACAAACTTTCACTGATCTCTACATCGGTTCCGGGGAACAAGAACAGTTCAAAGCCTTTATCAAGAGGAAGCTGCCAGATAAAAGCAACGAACCGTGTCTGCAGAAAGCATCATTCGGCCACAACGCACGTCACTACGTTCCTCGGTCTTTTGTGAGGCCTCTATAAGCATGTGCTGGCTGGTCCTTAACTCCAAAGCTCCGCAGTTTTTCTACTTTCGGATATACACCCCCCCACCACACAGGGAGGGAGGAAAGAGGGGTGGGGAAGAAGAAGGAGAAAGAGCTGGCGGGCCGGGTCATAACACGCAACGCCGCCTCTCCGCCTCCCTCCCGCGCCTTTGACAGCGGCCACCCATCCCCACCCCACCGCTGCCGGGCACTCAACGCCGGGCTCCGAAGGGCTCTCTTTCAGCAAGGGGAGCGCGCTTCTCGCCTCGCCCAGCCCGCGAACCTCTCTCGCTGCCTCAGGCGCCGCCGCTCCACGCGCAGCTCCGCGGCTCGTGCGAAAGGGGTGACCCCAAGCAGGAGGGGAGATGCCCGGGCCGGGAGGGCGCCGCCATGCCCTCGCTCGCCCAACAGCGCCGGGGGCTTCCTGGGCTCCTTCTTCCCTCAGTTTCCCTCACGCGCTCGCCCCCTGCGACCCCAGGCCGGCTCCTCACCCTCTCGCGCCTTGAGCAGCACCGTATTGGCCACGATATTCTCGAGCTCCATCGGGGCCCGCCCGCGGCGCCTCAGCCGTTCCTGCTGCTGCTGCCGCTGCCGCCGCCGTCACCTCTTACCACTCAGGCTCGGATCCCCCCCTTCCTACCCCTCGCTCCGCCCGCTGGGTCCGGCACCTCAGCAACCTCCAACGCCTACCTCCAGCATAGCCCCGCCCACTGCCTGCAGGCCCCGGCCAATCCCCACTCCAGCATGGCCCGCATCGGCTCCCGGTTGGCCGGGCGGGCCCCCCTCCGCCTCCTCTCTGCCCTTCTTTTTCATTGGAGGGACAGGAGGGGCGGGCCGGGAGCGCGGAGACCCTCCCTCGCGGGGCGATTGGCTCCAACGGCCTTTTTGGAGGTGGGGTGTGGCGCGGGGGCGGGGGGAGTCTTGAAAAAGGAGCGGCCAATCGGGTCGCTTGCAGGGAAGAATTGGACGGGCTCGAGTAGGGCGCTCGGCTCCACGCGCTCGCCCGCCCTCCCTCGGCTGGAAGCGTTGCCCGTGCAAATGTGTGATTGGGCGAGAAGTTGCTCGTCAGTTATGGTGGGAGGTGCCACGGGCACTTTCGGAGGGCGTGAAGTCCTACATGTGGTGCGCGTGCAGAGTGCAGAGGAACAAGGATGGGCTACTTTAGGTTGCCGTTAGGAATAAGGTTGCAGGTGAAAAGTATAGGTAGGCCAGGAACGGCCCGATGCTTTATACGTTCCTTGGAAGTAAAAGCCCCATTGAATCCAGTGGGAATTACTTAAACCAGAATGGATGTGTATTTAAGTCTTCCAAAGAGAAGGAATGGAAAATCTCCCAAAGGGAAGGAATGGAAAAACTATCTCACACACCTCCTTGAATTCCAAACCAATCTTCATTAACTAGTCCTCATTATAGCTAGGCATTAGCATTCTCACAGGGCAGGCTATTTAATTTAATTATTTAGATAATACTTCACCATGCCATCATAGTAAAACAGAATACATTAACAAAAAATAAAAAGTAAAGTAAAAGAGATCCAGTGTGGTGTAGTGGGTAGAGTGTCAAACAAGAACCTGTGAGATCAGTGTTCAAATCCCTACGCAGCCGTGAAGTTGGGCCAGTGGCTGCCTCTCAACCTACCTCTCAGAGTTTTTGTGAACAGACCTCACAACCCTCCTGAAGGACTGCCCATTATTTTTTGCCCAGTCCCAGAACTCCAGCCAATTGCCACACTAATGCTGTGCCCACTCCACTCTTCAAAAAGGAGGCCCAGAGGGCATAGCTTTTGTTGGATCAACTTCTTATTTTGTGCTTAGCCATGTATTTATGCCTCTTATATACTTGCTGCACTGTGTAACCTTGCCCATGAACAGTTCTGAATTATGCATTAAAACCTTTGGCAGAAACCAATATGGGAGCTCTTCATCCAGCAGTGAGGGCTAGGACACATTCTGGGGTTTAGTTGACTTATGGAGGCTGCAGTACTACACCTGCTTAGATGGCAGTAAACCCTATTGAATTCAGTGAGCTTTCATTCTGAGTTGTCTGAATTGTAGGGACAGCTAACAGTTTGTTTGGCATGTGGATGAAAGAAGTGTTAGTGTAGAATGTGAAAACGTTGACAGGATTAAACAAATTTTAATAGGCTCACTTATAATATGCTAATACATAAATCGCCTACAGGTGAACACTTTCTGACTTGACATATGTAATGGCAAGAGATGAGAATGTCAGAAATCCTGTGGGTAAAAATTCAGGAATTGGAGAAGCTTTCACTAACTGAGAGTCCCCTGAAATCAGCCCTGAGTGCTCACTGGAAGGACAGATCGTGAAGCTGAGGCTCCACTACTTTGGCCACCTCATGAGAAGAGAAGACTCCCTGGAAAAGACCCTGATGTTGGGAAAGATGGAGGGCACAAGGAGAAGGGGACGAGAGAGGACGAAATGGTTGGACAGTGTTCTTGAAGCTACCAGCATGAGTTTGACCAAACTGCGGGAGGCAGTGGAAGACAGGAATGCCTGGCGTGCTCTAGTCCAGTGTTTCCCAACCTGTGTTCCGCGGCACACTAGTGTGCCGCGAGACGTTGCCTGGTGTGCCGTGGGAGGGAGGCGGGCGAGTCGGGCGGCGAGAGGCGGGGCGGCGGCGGCATCTCCTGCTGGATGCAAATCCAAACATGGCGGGCGCCTCCCTCGCTCCTTTGTAGGCGGACCATCGAGAGAGAAAGAAAAGGAGGCGAAAGAGCGAGAGAAGGCGCCTGCGCGGAAAGAGGAGCGAGCAGTGCGCCTGCGCGCCGCGGCGCCCGAGTGCAGTGAAATTCCGTGAAGAGGGGAGGGGGGGCTGGAAAAGAGAGAAAGGAAAGATTTTTCATTTTTTTAAAAAAAAAAAAAAGGAAGAGGGAAAGAAGAGAAAAAGCGGCAGAAGCTGAGGGGAAGGTTTCCGTGAGGGAGAGAGAGAGAGAAACGCGGGGCTGGCGGGATCCCTCCTCTTCCGCCACGCGTCGCCCGCCACCGCCTCAGAATCTCCTCAGGAGCGGCGGCGGCTGCTCCCCCTCGCCCCCTTCCTCCCCCCCAGCCCCCTCCCAACCCCCGGACGAGGGACGCGAGGCGGCGCCGCTGAGAGGATGGGAAGGCCCCCGGTGGTGGGGTCGGCTCGAGCAAGGAGGGGCGAGCGCTAGCCGGCTGGCTCTAGACCGGCAAGAGGAGGAGGAGGAGGAGGAGCACGCCGTCGCTTCCACAGCGGACCGCCCCACACTCCCCTCCCCGGGCACCGGCGGGGAGAATGACGGAGCTCCAGTCCGCGCTGCTACTGCGGAGACAGCTGGCAGGTCGGTCCGTCCGTCGGTCGGGGCAAAACACACCACAGCGCAGGCAGAGGCAGGCAAGCCCGTCTCTCCCTGCCCCCCCTCGGACCTGGCCGGCCTGGGGTTTGCACCCCAAACATTCATGTCCACCCCAGCTACACAAGCCACACCTTGCTCTCAGTTCGATCTGTCAAATAACTCACCTATCATTCACATAAAGAACCTAGTCTATCCTCAAACGTCAGAATGTACCTCCTCTCTAGCTTCCCCCACTTCATCTAGGCACTTTCAGCCCTTACTTAACCCACCCCAGCCTGCTTACTCTTCCTTCATTTGCTATAAAAACTAAATACAGAGAGAGACTGAGAGCTGTTGACGAAGAGCTACGTGTGTGTCTTTCTTCGATTCCAGCCAGAATATCAGCTTTGTGTTCAGCCAAACAGGCCCAGGTTGCGCACTGAATAAAGTATTTTATAATTTTTCATATTTCTGTTTACTTACTATTTCATAATAAAGTAATTATAAAATACTTTCTTTGTGTTTATTTGATTCCTATTAAAGAGAGTTACTTTATATATAGTCAATATAGGCACAGAGTTAATTTTTTAAACATTTTCTAATGGTGGTGTGCCTCGAGATTTTTTTCATGAAACAAGTGTGCCTTTGCCCAAAAAAGGTTGGGAAACACTGCTCTAGTCCATGGGGTCACGAAGAGTTGGACACAACTAAACGACTAAACAACAACAAAAAGGAAGAATCAGGGCATGATGAAAAGGTGAAGGAAAGGGAGAATGATCACAGATGGTTGAATGATGTGGATAGAGACATAAGGAGTTCTGGGATTCCATTGACCTTGCATTGAACAGACCTTTCAGCATGAGGGCTGATTCATACATTGATTTTGACAGATGAAAAAACATTTTACATATGCAAAAATGTAATGTGTGTGTACAAGAAATACAAGTACATAAGCAGGAAACCGGGTCTCCACCTGGGTATCCAGGAGCAATCTCAGAACGAGAAGTACCCTCAAGATAAAAAGGGGAAATGTAACACACACAAAAACCACCACCCCACATCAAGAGCAGGCAAGTCTATTCTAATCCCACATCATTAACTTCTCTGTTGTATTCAACTGAATTCAGTGGGACATATTTTAAGTAGGCAGTTTCCACAGAAGTTTTGGGAAATAATGGGCTCGCACCACAATGTGAATTTACCCAATGCATAATGCAGAAATATGTTACTAGGCAAGCTCCTTTGTCCCTGAAAAGGGTGTTCTGATCATAATTTAATCAGCATGTGACGAGTTTTATGTGCCTGCGCAATCTGTATTGCCAGGACTAGTTGCTCAATAAGGCAGTTGCTGTGCTGGTGATTGGCACAGGTTCCTTGATGACTGAAACCGACTTGAACTTCTTTAAAATGCGTATGTAATTTGCAAAACAATACTTTGGCTTCTGAGTTCTGGACTTGAGCAATTGTTATGCCCCAAAGGGCAGGGCATGCATCATGTAAATGTTACATTTACAAAAGCACATCACAAGTCCAATTGTTGTGGAAACAGACCTCTGAGTCTTACCATTTGGATGAGGGGGGAAACTTGCCTAATTAACAATAAATCTACCAACTTTTTTTTTAAAAAAAAGCAAGACAAACAAATAAAAGGGTTTGCATTCCAGTTGGTATAGGTGACATGCAACCAAGTGTGGGATCATACAATCAAACTGTAGAGTTGGAAGGAATCCCAGAGAGTCATCTAGTCCAATCCCCTGCAATGCAGGAATCTCAACTAGATCATACATGACAGATGGCCATCCAATCTCTGCTTTAAAACCTCCAAGGAAGGAGAGTCCACCACCTGTAGTGGGAGTCTGTTTCACAGCTCTTACTATCAGAAAGTTATTTCTGATGTTTAGTGTAATCTCCTTTCTTGTAACTTGAATCCATTGGTTCAGGTCCTAGCCTCCGGAGCAGGAATAAACAGGACAGCCCTTGAGATGTTTGTGGATGGCTATCATATGACCTCTTAGTCTCCTCTCTACTAGGCTAAACATACATAGAGCAAGCTGACAAATTTCAAAATCTTGCATCATAGAATGATAAAGAGTTGGAAGGGCCTTTGTAAAGTAGACCTTTAGTCTCTATCTCTGATTGAGGTAGAAAATCATGCTAGAGCATCTTTGTCCAGCTCCTGCTTAAAGACCTCCAAGTGAAGAAGAGCCCTCACCCCTCTAGGTAATCGAGCCCGTTATTAAACCCCTCATTATCATCAATATGTGTCTCCTAATGTTCAGCTGAAATCTACCTTCTTGTAACTTAAGCCTATTAGATCTA